ACGATGTACAAATGCGCTTTACACAATTGATGTGTGTATGGATTGGGATAACAGTTGTATGAGCCCCTAATAAAATGTTAAAAAAACAAAACAAAAAAAACCCTACAAGAGGACAGTAGAATCGTCCCTTTGGGTTCTGAGACTAGATTTTTAGAGGAGCAGAGAGCCACATCTTTCTGCTATGGAGGAGCTGGTGGGGTGTCTGATAAATAAAGCAAATCAATAGTACTTTGGCTTCAGCCATGTAAAAAATAAATAAATAAATAAAAAGACAAGAAAGAAAGACAAGATCAAAGTGAATATCAGAAGAGACTTGGAAACTTGCTCTTAATCATAGAGTAGCTAAAGAAAGTGGAAGAAAGGGAGAAGTCAAGTTGCTGAATATAAAATTTCAAAGGGCAGCTTGAGAAGACAAAACCAAATACAATAAAGAAATGTGCAAAGACCTAGAATTAGAAACACACACAGCATATCTGAAACTGAAAGAACTCAATCTTCAAGTCCTGAATTGCAATTTTGTAAGATTCAACAGGTAAAATATTGAATGATGCAGGAAGTACCAAGAGAAAACAGAAACAATATACCGTTACTGTACCGAAAATAAATAGTCAACAGTCCACCATTTCAGGAGGTAACATATGAGCAAGAACCAATGGTGCTAAATGAAGAAGTTCAAACTGCACTGAATACATCAGCCAAAAAACAAGGCTCCAGGAATTGACGAATATCCAGTGAAATGTTTTAGAAAGCTCAAGGAGCACTGGAAGCATCCACTTGTCTATGCCAGGGTATTTGGAAGACAGCTATTTTAGAATATTGAATAGCCAGGATGTTACTTTGAGGACTAAGATGTGCCTAACCCAAGCAATGGTATTCTCCATTGCACCGTAGTCATGTGAAAGTTGGACAATGAATAAGGAAGACCACAGAAGTAGCAATGGATTTAAATGGTGGTACCTAAAAGGGCAAACCAATCTACTGGAAGAAGTAAGGTCAGAGTGTTCCTTAAGGGCAAGAATGGCAAGACTTTGTCTTACATACTTTGGACATGTCAGGAGAGACCAGTCCCTGGAGAAGGTCATCATGTTTGGTAAAGTGGAGGGGTGGAAAAAGAGGAAGGCCCTCGACAAGATGGACGGACACAGTGGCTGCAGCAATGGGCTCAGGCGTAGGAGCAATTGTGAGCATGATGCAGAACTGTGCAGTGTTTCGTTCTGTTGTGCATAGGGTCACCTATATTGGAGCAGACTTCACGGCAACTTACAAATAACAACAGGTTTGACTTAGGTTACTACACAACCAACTTCGTATTATTCCCTTTCAGTCTTAGTTTACAACCCCCTGGTTTATACCACCAAGCCCCTATCAACCACCCCCTCTTGGACTTAATGTAGATTACAACTCCCAAGTTACAGCATCAAATTCTTATCAACAACCTCTTTATTCTTAATTTAGGTTATAACACATAGTCCTACTCCACATAATTGCATCAACAACTCCTCCCAGTCTTAATTTAGGTTATAATCTCCCAACCTATACAACAAAGTCCCTATTAGCAATCCACTGTAAGATTTACCATATATAATCATGTATAAGCCGAGTTTTTCAGCACATTTAAAAAATTCATTTTATTGGGGGCTCTTACAACTCTTATCACAATTCATCCATGCATCCATTATGTCAAGCACATTTGTACATTTGTTGCTCTCATCATTCTCAAAACATCTGCTTTCCACTTGAGCCCTTGGTATCAGCTTCAGCATGTTTTAAATGTAGCTTTTGTGGTAAAACTACGTGCCTCCGCTGATACTTGTGTTGGTTTACACTTGAGTATATATGGTAAGTTATAACATCCAGGTAGGCCTATGCAATCAACTCTCTTTCAACAACTTCCTCCCATTCTTAATTTTAGGATACAACCCACAGGCTATAACACCAAGTTCCTTTCACAATACTCTTGTCTTAACTCAGATTACAACCATTAATTTAGGTTGATGCACACTTAACCTTTACATAAAATTCTCTCTGATACGTGAGTTTCTGTGGATTTGTTTCTCTAAAGTACCCAGACTAGCACATTATGGTACTAGGAGTGGGGTACTGGAGAAACAAATCATAAGATGGAGAGTAGATGTTTGTTTGAACTCTCCCTCATTATAGTTTTTCTTGTCTAGCCAGAGGTCAGATAAAGCCACTCTGTTTACTCAGTGGTTTTCTGGGGAAAATATGAGAAGTAGGAAAATAGAAAGTTTGTAAGCCCACTTTCTTTCAGCCATTAAA